AAAAAAAAAAGCAGCAAGTGAAGTTTTCTTCCCCCTGCCCCTCTTCTACATGTTCCTAGCAAACCCCGGGAGTCCGAGGAAGCTTTGGCTACCATGGAAACAAGAGCCTGGCCATCCACCGTGCAGCTCCGGGAACCCTGGCACGCGCTGGGAGAGCAAGCCTCAAGACCGCCCGAAATGCCAAGTAGGCAGTCACTGACAACACCTGGATTATTGCTCTGAACATGCACGGTCTTCATCTGAGGGCAGAGCCAGGTGCAGATGGGCTCCAGGCCAGGGACGAGAGAGGCAGGCTGGCTGCAAGCTGCCTCAGGACACTCGTAACCACCAAATGGTATTGAAAAATAAAAACCAGACTCCTCACATTACAAACATCACCAAGGACTGACCTCAGAGCAGGTGGCAGAATGAAGAACCACCATCCACTCTGCCAAGACACAAAGAAACCCTTTGCCGGCATTTATATATAAAACGAAGCCAAAGCAGTTTCCAGGTTCCGATCTCACCCTAAGGCAAGGAGGACAGAGTGCCACAGAAGTGAAAAACTGCAAACGGACTGTCTAACAACATGGAATGACTTGAATTACGGGCCGTGTGTCAGGTGAACACAAAATGCCAGTTTTTAAAGAGGGGAAGTATGAAATCTATTTGAGAAATAGCAAAATCAAAACCAGTTTTCCTAGAAAAGGTGAAGTTTTGGTTAATGAGTAGAACTTACATGTGCTTTCTATATGGCCTGGAGTTAAATTTACTCTTATTTTCTAAGAAGTACAACGACAGCAATAAAACCAGCACTCTGTTTCCCTCCATACACCTGAAGCCGGAGATGCAGGTCAGTGATGTACACAGATGGGACAGGTCATTTCTGCACCATTTTTACAAGACAGCATGCATTGCTGAGCCACTAAAAACGTGGTCTTTCGAGTGTCTACACCCTTCATAAACCCCCTCCATCTCATGAATCCCTTACGGCACACCTACAGTTGGTTTTACATCAAGAAAAACAGGGTCCCAGGACCCCTCCTCAGGCCCCCGTCCAAAGGCCCAGGGAAGGCGGGGCGCGGAGAAGAGAGGGCAGGGCGGCCACTTCCCCTGCCCCTCCTGTCTCCGCCCAGGGAAGTGGCTTGGAGCAGAGACAAACTCTTACAGAAGGGGGACGGGGGGACGGGAGCCTGCTCCCAGGTTCCTCAACAGTGTAAGTCAGCTCTACCTCTACAGACAAGACTGACCCCTTAACCTGGAGGTTCCCCGATTTTCTGTGATGCAGAAACCCAGTTTGGTACCTAAATGACTAACCCTTCCGCCATCTGGAGAAGTCAGCAAATCAGAAGCAGGGCTTCCTTGGGAATCCTGAGCGGACTATCCCTATGGAATTTGTGAGGATGGTCCTGACACCACGAAAAGGACTTCTGAAAAACGTAAGCTGTGGTCACTGTGTATCCAAAGCTTCAAAATGTGAATTCCCTTGGGCTCTCATTCCCTCTTTGGAACTCGTCGTAAGGAAACAAAGGCACAGAAACCCTGAAGCTCCCATAAATAAAGTGGCGCACCCAGACACAGAATTCCGCTGCAGGACTCCCTGTTGACGTGGAAATATACCTAACATCAAGTGCAAAAAGCGGGTTATAGATCAAGTACACATTATGATCATACTAAGTTTTTTTTTAAGATACGGAAGCAGAGAAAAGGGTGTTATTTCTGGATGATTTGTAGTTATAGTCTCTCTGCTTCTGCAGGACCTAAATTTATCTTAAATTTGAAAAGAGTAGGGGCGCCTGGGTGGCTCCTGATTTTGGCTCAGGTCATGGTCTCAGGGTCGTGAGATGGAGCCCCACGTTGGGCTCCACAGGAGTCTGCCTGAGATTCTCTCTCCCTCTACACCGCACCCCCCCACACACTGCACACACTCTCTCTCAAATAAATAAATCTTAAAAACATACACACACAGTAAATTACCTTTAAAAATAAATTTTCCTGGGGCGCCTGGGTGGCTCAGTCGTT